TGATAAGTCTTTGAAAATCTGATCATTTTCCAAAAAGCCATAGATATTCTGAAAGAGGAAGCTTTGCTGCATCTTCCTATGATAAAAACTCAACTTCGATATTTTTTTGAAAAATTGAATTTTCTAAAGGGGCCCCTTCATTCATGCAAAGGAGCTGTGAATCAGCGTATCCTGAAATATTGTGCTATACGTGCATTACTCGACAGCAGGAAAATTGGGATCACTCCGTCACGGCCCTGAGTACTATTCAATATTTTTTTTTGCTTTAAAGCTCTGAATCAGGGCTAACTTTTCATCAGACAGATTTTTGATACATTTTTTCTGGGCTGAGAAAAGTGGAATTTCCTGTCGCTCGAGTGACGTGTTTTTGCAGACCTGTCCAGTAAAATGGTCATAAAAAATGAATGGAAAGGTGTTTCAAAAATCCGTCTGATGAAAAGTTGCGCACAGAGACTAGCTTTAATTTGACGTCACCCCGAGCTCTCTAGCCTTTACTACGACTGAGTGATTCCCATTTTCCTGGGAGGTATGAAAACAGGCCATAAGTTCGATCTACTCGGGAGTATCGAGCTGAAATTCTTATCACAAGCATATCTCACCAGGATCACTTGTTCCTGAAAGTTTCAGCCTAAATAGTTCATCTTAGGTGAGAAATCGTTTCTGAGGGGGAAGGGGTCCCCTTAAGCCTTATTTACGATAGTGAGTTTCACATGGCTTTCTTACAATCCGGGGGCAAGGAATTTTTGCAGATCTTTCAAAATATTCATCATCTTAATCGCTATGGACCTCGAGTTTTTCAGAGAGTGTGAGCTAAAGGGCTTTTGTGAGTCTTTGAAATTACTCATCATCTTCATAGGTATACCCATTTTTTTAGACGTGAAGAACTGTGGGTCCTTGATCTCTTTACAATTATTCATCATCTGAATAGCTATAGATGCATCTATTTCTAGAGATGGAGCACCAGAGAGCAAGAGAAGAAAAAAGCAGAGTTTAGGATTTTGACACATTCAAAAGATTGTAAGATTTAAACAGAGTATGCTATTTATTTAATGATACTCGACTAAAACTGAGTGGGAAGTTAACATTTCTGATCGCCCGGTAACGGAACAGTTAGGGCCACAAGTCTTATTATGGGAGGTGCCCTTGCGTCCTCAAATGTATTATAGGGGATATCCTTACGTACTCAAGTCGTATTATAGAGAGTGCTCATACTTCTTCAATGCCTATAGTAAGAGGGCATCCTTGGCTCCTCAAGTCCTATAGTAAAGGGTACCCTCGAGTCCTCAAGTCCTACTATGGGGAGAGAAGAGGAGAGGGAGTGGCATTCTTGGGTTCTCAGGCATTACAAGAGAGGATACGCTTGGATCTTCATATCTCAAGCTAGATGGTACACTTGAATCCTCTAGTCGTATACAACGGGATACTAGGGATCTCACCTTATCGATACCGCAACTGTACAGCTGGTCATGAGTCAGCTTCATCCAGGCCCCGCGAAAGTGAGGGGCTGTAGGGGGTGTACACCCCCTCAATAATTAAAAATTATTCAGCCATAGCCAAAAAAATCGATAAATTTTTCTTGAATTTTTTTGCTAGAAAATTCTGAAGAGAAGTTTAAACTTTTCGCTTCGTGATAACGTGAGTGCGCGAGCGTACTCGGCCTAAAAATGTCTGTGATTTTTCTGTTTTTAAAGCAATCTTACTCCTGTCTTCTTTTTGAAGAGTTTGTTTTCCAACAGTCGTCACTAGCGTGACCGTCTTCGGCAATGAAAGCGCTAAGAGCTCTCGCAACACTTTTTCCTTTCGAACAGCATAAGGAACAAAACGAGTTTTTCATGAATTCGAAAAAGGTTTTCGCTTCGCGAAAAATAACAACTGTCTAATCGCAGTTAACTTCGACAAACTTCCTGCTTTTGTTAATTTTTCCTTTGAAGCAGCTTGATATAGAACAATTTTCGCCAGAGTGGTCGTTTGCCATAACGACAGTATTGAGAAATTTTCTCACATTAGAGTCGAGTTCTCTTCTTAAAAATTTGCCAGAAAAAGTCGAATTTTTTAACAAGATTGCAAAAAGTTGTCGCTTTGCGAAAAGTTGTTACATTTTAGGTCAATAGAGAAAGATTAACATTAGATCTCAGGTGTAAAAAATTGTGTTCCTCAATCTTGGTCGCCTTGGAGCCCCCGCCTTCCGCTCCCCAATCCTGGGGCCCTCACGCGGGGCCTGATTTCATCGTCTTAGAGTAACAATTAGGACGGTAACTGTAGTTATTAGGACCCTCGAACTTCTCTGGCTTAAGGGGTGGCTTTATCTTCGCATGAACCATAATATAGAGGAGGCGACTAGTCATGATTGACAATCTTAGGGGGTAGGTTTAGAGCTTCATGGACTTTCGTATACAGGTTTCTCAAGTCTGTAAAGCTATCTCTGAAAGATTTCCTAATAGTTTTGAAGTTCAAATCAATAGAAGAAGTCGGATCTGTCAAATTGCTATAGAATTGGGGGGAGGGGGTCGATAGTTTATGAAGCACTGTCAGATAGAGAGCGGTAGTGAAACCTAACTTTTTTTCTACTGGTAGGTTTCCAAAAACAGTCACTGTTAGCTTTCGAGGTAACCGAGAACGGGATTAAAAAAAATTCGATATCGAAATTATTTCTCGTAGAGATAGATTTTTGAGTAAATAATCCAATTTTATAAAAGCTAATGAATCTAAATCAGCATCGAGAAAGCGAAGCCTACGATTAGTGTCTCAGAAATCTGCAGTCGAATTAATTGATCGACGAGACGTGCACTCTGACAAAGTTAGAATAGGTCAGAAACTTTTCTATCGTCGTTTTGAAAGTATGAATGGTAAATGGAACCTATCTTCATTTATTATTTAGAAGTGAAGGATTTAACGTGTCGTTGTTTCCATTGTTTTGCTAAAAATGAGGTTTTATTGTTCAATAGGAAAACAATAATTACGTATTCTGAAGTTGTAATGCAACACGATTCTGTTATCATGGAAAGCTCTATGTTATTTAAGGGTTTCTAGCCAGACAACTGGTTAAGTAACGTACAACTAGGTTCGGTTCATGTCTGTGCTATAGGACGATAGTAGTGAGACCAACTTTGCTTCCGTGAACTTTTCGTTTCTCCTTGATTAATTGATATTTTCGAGCTGCAGGTGTGCACAAATTATTCAGCTTTTCATATATTTTTGTTTACAGAATGATTATATAATTACATTTGAAAAGAAGGCGAGGCTTATGGGAGATAGAACTTGTAGCTCAAAGGAGACCATTACCAGTTATCGGTAATGTTCACTTTCTAGCCCTACCCGTCTTTAGTATTAAGATTTTAAAGGATTTTGAGAGATTTTACGCGTTTTAAATGCTAAAATCTGCGTTTTCCACCTTGCGATAGGTTATATGCACTGTTTAGGATTGTTCATCATCACAATAGCCGTAAAATCCTTTTTTATGAGATGAAGGAAGAGAGAAGATTAGCAAATCATCTTTTTGTTTTAGAGATCGAGATACAAAAGAACCTCTAGAGTGTTTAGAGTTACTCATCATCTTTTTAGCTGTAAGTTTATTTTTCTTAAAGTTTCAGAAAGCAACAGGTCTTTAGAATTATGGATCACCTTAATGACTATGGATACAATTTTTCTTACAGACGGTGGGACCAGGAGTTCTTTGATACGTCTTGAAACTATTCATCATCTAAAAAGCCGTGCATATCCATTTTTGCAGAGATTGAGAGACTAGGAAACCTTCAGGGAATCTTTAGATTCATTCATCATCTTCATAACTGTAGACCCATTTTTTTCGAGATGGAGGACTAACAGGTCTTTGGGAATCTTTAGAATTATTCACTATATCTACAGCTTTAGCCAACAGTTTTGAGGGCATTCATAACTGCCAATACGATGAATAATACTCAACACCCCTAGCAATTTCTAGTCTCGCCGTCTCTAAAAACAAACGAAATATATAGCTGTTAAGATGATGAATATTTGTCAAAACGCCCGAAGATCCATTACTCCAAGGATCTAAAAAAAAACTGGGTGTATATCTATTATTATGATAAATAGTTCTAAAGACCGCAAAGATTCGCTAGTCCCTTCACGTTCAAAAAGAAGATGTATAGCAATTAAAAATACGACTATGGATCAAGACCCTTAGTGTCCCATTTCTTCTTGAAATTGAGGGTGTTTAGGTTTTTCAAAGTTCAGATGGTAATGAGATGTCCCTAACTCTGAAACATCCGATGCTAGGAGATCAATATGTGACGTCAAGAATATAGTAACTTATTCATTTTCTCAAAAAAACAATTCGACATAGGTTACATGTATTATCACCTAATGATTCTTGTTAGTTTTTTTATATCGCCGAGGTATTCCTAAATATTTTAATTGATACTAGGGAAAAGTATTTTCATAATCATCAAAACAATCAAACTCATTGTATTTAAATCTTAGTAATAGAACACTCTAATCTTTAATCATTTATTCGTGCTAACTCTTCTCCTTTGGAAACCTACGTTTTGTTATTATTAGATCATAAAGATAAAGTAAATCATTTGACGATCACCATGCATCTACTCGTGATTTTATTTATTTGTCACTTAACCAATGGCTTGGATCGAATGTATGAAACGCACCGTAATAAAGACGGAACTGTTCTTAATACGTTTGATTGTTTATATTATCTATACGGTCTAATAAGGTGAGCTCCAAACTGCGTAAACTCCAAATTTGGAGCTCACTTACGCCTATACGTTTTACTCGTTGACCTCTGGTGAGGTTATAAAGTGAAGGGTTCATAAAAATAACCCCAAAGTGTGTAAACACCTCAGTTCGCAGCTCACTTAAGGAATCACCAGTGATGCTAGATGCATCACCTGGGACACTATGGGCATCACTGAGGATGCTTGGGGCATCACCTGGGATGCTTGGAGCATCACCTGGAATGCTTGAGGCATCACCTGGAATGCTTGGGGCATCACCTGGAATGCTTGGGGCATCACCTGGAACGCTTGGGACATCACCTGGAATGCTTGGGGCATCACCGGGGATGCTTGGGGCATCACCTGGGATGCTTGGGGCATCATCTGGGATGCTTTGGGCTCCACCTGGGATGCTTCGGGCTTCACCTGGGATGCTTGGGTCATCACCTGGGATGCTAGAGTCATTGCTTGGGACCCTAAAGCCATCACCTGGCTGGCAGTGGGAAGCAACCGTTACCAGTAACCGAGGAGAGGGGTAACGCTCCCACTCTTTAGGTAGCCTTGGGTCCTCAAGTAGTACATGATGGGGTACTCTTAGGTCTTCAAGCCCTATATTATGGAGCACCCTTGGGTCGTAAAGTCATATTATTGGAGGGTACCCTTAGGTCCTCAAGCCCTATACTATGGGGGTACCCTTGGGTCTTCAAGTCCTATACAATGGGGTACTCTTAGGTTCTCATGTCCTATAGTGTGGGAGTACCCTGGGGTCCTCACGTCATAATATTGGAGGGTACACTTGGCTCTTGAAGTCCTATAGTATGGGGTACCCTTTGGTCGTCAAGTCCTATCATTTAGGGATACCCTGAGGTCCTCAGATGCTATCATTGGGTCGAACCGTGAGGCCGTCAACTCCTTCTATTTTGGGTACCCTTGGGTCGGGAAGGCGCAGTTTTGGAGTATACTTGGGTTCTGGTTTGCTACTATTGGGGTATTCGTGGGTCTTGAAGTCCTACTGTTGGGGGTGCTTTTCGTTTCTCAAATTGTGCAATATGGGGATTCCATGTGGTCCTTAAGTGTTTGTATAGTGCCGTGCTCTTTGGTACTGACGTGCTACTGTTGGATGTCCCCTTGGATCCTAAAAGACTACTATTGGGAAGAATTCTTGTATAGTGAAATGCTTCGGCAGGCGGCCTGTTTTACGTGTGTGGTGTTGTAGTGATCAGAGCATTGTGTACGATATTCTTGGAAGTTTTGATTCATTGTTAATGACGGGAGATTTGTTCGTAGCGAACTGTCGGTGTTGGCGGTCTGCTTTTTAATACGCGATTACTAGGTCAAGTGTGTTAGTGCGATCTCGGAAAGCGATAGAATATGTGGTAACCCTAGGCACGATAGTAAGGAAGGATGCCATAGATGTTTGTGATGATTAAGAGTAGTGAGTCGGATTACAGGAACGCGGAAAGGTCCTATCATTTAAGAATTCTCAAGTGTTTAGGGGTCATTAGTACTTCTTTCACAGTTTGGTTGAAAGTTGATGTTATAAAGGTGCTTGAGTTCGGTAATATGTAGGCAAATGAATTACGCGTTTTTTTGCGAAGGGTATCTGATGAGGAGTTGCTGTGTAAGATGGTCTGTTCCATCAGCCACTTTGGGTCTGATGTTGCCGTTAGTTTAGCCAATATGAGATTACGAGTAAGGAGATTGGTTAACGCAATTTTTTTATGATAGAAATTAGTGTGTTTAGAAATCAACTACGTCCTCAGTAGTTGGGGAAACTAGGTCGTCCACTAGCACCGGAAGTCCTTTCCTACTGCCTGTATATTATGTCTAATGAGCGTACTACTCTGTTTCAGATGTATGGAATTGTGCGGAGAGTCACTGAGAGGTGGTTAGAAGTTCTGCTATGTTGCCAGAAGGCAGAGATCCGCTGTGTTGTTGGGTGAATTGCTGAAAAGTATATAGGAATACGAGGAGGCGTAGGACAGTAACATGGGGTACGTGTAAGTAGAGTGAAGCACGAAGAAATGCTGCGAGATAGTGAGTTTTTCACAGAAGTAATAGCAACTGCATTGAAATATAAATAGATTAGTGTGCTCAGAATCTGGCGCATATTACTCTGTTAGAAAAACCGAGTTTGTAGAATATGACGAAAAAGTTAGGGATTAAATGTGTGGCTTTTGTGAAGCGCTCCAGAATGCCGAACATTTGAGAAAAATTTTTTTTATTGTTGAACAAACTCTAAGCACTTTGCGTAAATATTCTTTTTTTGGATTATAATCAGATGTTCTTTTCCAAGATGAAGCTTGTCAAGGTTTTTTTTTCTCGCGCAAAGGTTATGTGAAGTTATCGAACACGTTTATCGGAGAAATCAGTAGGAAACTTGTTAGCGTAAGAATCGTTATAGAATCCGTGATAAATTTCCATCGATTGTTTTATAATATATGAGAAGCCTATTTTTGACATCAGAGGTCTTCTGAGGCATCGATTGAAAATTTTCCCATTAATCTGAAATCCTTAAGTGCTAATTGAGCTGAGTATGCTAGCTGCATGTATGGCATATTTTCGATTAAAGCGATAGACAATTGGAAAGATCAGAACGATTCTCCAAAATTTTCATAGAAAAAGATTTTGCTGTAGAAGTGCACTAGTATCCAATTAAACCCATCAAAGATAAATTCTTCTGGCACGGAATATTTTTCTCGATCAGGGTCCATAAAACCATCTTAAACGTTGAAGTGCTTGTCTACCATTGCGTGTCGGAAGCCTTTACCTTGATGAAATTATACTAGATAACGACTTTTTACAATCGTCTGCCATTATGTTTTCTAGGTGTCAGTTAGCCAGATTTTTCGACAGACTATCTGAGTCGCTATGAGCTTTCCCATGGGAAGATTTCCAACTTAAAAACCGACGCTTAGTGCAACTTTTTTATATTAACGGCCATATTTATCAGTTAATTTGGTATTCCTTACTCCCGTATCGAAACGCTTTGTAGCAGAAAACTCCTTGTTTTCAGCTCAGGACAATATGATATCTGAACTCAGCACAATAAACTGAGGGCAAATACGCCTCTTTCAATTAGTTTCCATAACTTATTCTACTGTCAACTTTTAGTCCTGTTTCATCTCAGGATACATGAATACAACTTCACTAAATCATATATTTCACTGTCCAAAAGTCTCTGGTTTTGCCTTTGAGAACTGTTGTTTATAACCCAAACGGCAATTACACTGCCAAAGTAGTTTTTGCTTGGAATTCATTTTTCCAGATATCTCGAAGAGCCAAGCCTGAAAATGTAATAGAAGCCAACATCCGAGGAAATAATTTACAAGACATAAGCAGTCCTAGATTCGCACTGATTTACGAACATGGCATTCTTTTGAATTCTAACAGTGTTTTTCCTACTAAAGCCGGTGTCTATAATTCAAAAACACTCTAAAATTGGCTGACAAATATGGCAGATGAGACAAAAGCGATTCATCGGGCATCAAGTTTTAAGTTACAGATGGTCTCATCAGAAAAATCACATCGAACTATATGTTTGGATAAAAAATCTCGCTGAAACACGCGTACAAACTGTGACTATTGGCTACTGTAAAAATCATTATGGATAAAAGTTTCACCTAGTTGGAACATTATCCAAATACATCTACAGAGAAGGCTTGGAATGTCGAGGATCTTCCAACTGGTCTCTACAACAAAAAACACTTTGTGTGGAATAAAACGTTTTTCAACGAAACCAAACCGAATTTCAGAGGGTGTTCAGGTCGAAATCTGTTTTTTGAACTCTTCCAAGACTGCATCGCCTCTTTTTTACGGTGGTAGTGCTTGCAAATAAAAACATAATCGTTGAAGACATCACCTTCAGCTTTATTAAAGTATAAAGCTTTCCCACAAAACTGTGATGGAAATTCTTAATTCACTCTGGAAGATGACACCGGGTATGAAAGGTCCAGTTGAGCTATCATAGAAACTAAACTAATGAAGAATATTCAAGTGGCCATGGGTAATCCTCAGAGAGAAAGGTAAGATCCGCTATCATGAAACTCTTGGTCCACGATTTCACAAATATACACACTATATTCCCACTGTTACATGTTGTTTTCTATTTTTCATTCTTTATAAATCTTCATCACGTATATGCTTAAAGGGTTGTTGAACTATATCCATCAACAACTGGTGGTATAACAGCAGTGTCCACATGCAGTAAAAACCGTTAAAAAACCTTGAATCCATGTAGAAGTAATGAAAATCACGAGGAAGTACCAGGAAGAATCAAGAACTATGAGCATAAACAAAGTAAATCGAAGACGAACGAAAAACTACCACCAAGTACAAAAGCACGTTAAATCTTTCCGACTCAATAAATGGAGGTGGTTTTCGTCAACAGAAGAAATGCTAATTCTCAGAAACTGCAGCTACCTATTGACAACTAATAGGATCCATTTCCAACCACCATTACGATGCGGAACATGACCACCCCCACCCTTCACACAAAACAGGACCGACTCTCTCTTTTATCTTTTTCATTCCTGCTTCCACGTCAGCTGAAAGTGTTGCGCCCGAAAATGCCATTCACAAAGTCTAACATTCCAGAACGCATCACGCTCATTACTACCATCGCCATAAATAACCTTTTCTGTTTAGCTCAGGAAAACAACTGCCTCACATAAGCCAGGCAGTCACAGTAACTGTCCTCGAGTGTTACAGGTAATGAGGCAACACTCACCACAAGCTACGGAAACTTACACAGTACAGACTCACTGCACTCACACGCAGCGAAAAAGTCACGAAGAGTACGAATTGCTGCGTCACTTACACCATCCCCTCAACAAACGCACTCAGTGGTGCTCCCCGACTCCTACAGCAATTCCTTCCAATAGTAATTTACCAGCTAGTATTTCTCCTTCGCATTTAGTAGAACTTCATCATCTTCTAGAATCCAATGGTACCGATTAAACCCCGATGCTCAAGCGCAATAGCATTACAGGACCCAAGGTATACCCTATGGTAGGACATCAGGAGCCACGAGTGCCCCTAATACAAGAGCTTCAGCACCTAAGGTTATCCGCTAGTGTAAGACCTCAATACGCAAGGGTACACACTATAGTAACACTTGAGGAATGAACGGTACCCCCAATATTAAGACTTCAGGACCATAGGGGGGGCCCCCAAAAGTAAGACTTCCGCACCCAAAGCATATGCCCAA